GGGCTGTCAGTTTCCTAGGAACTGATCTGCTTGACCCTCATACGATGGGAGAGTCAGTATATATATATATATATATATATATATATATATATATATATATATATAAAAATATGATATAAGCATGTTATAACATCACTAGAAAAATAGCCATTTTGCTTCTACTCTTCTGGTGTCTTATGCAACACCATCACTTGATAAGACTCCGCTATATATATATATATATATATATATATATATATATATATATATATATATATATATATATATATATATATTCATTAGTTGTTTTTGTAAAGCTTTGGGAGGTCAATTGACAAAATCACCTGAGGATACGGTATTTTAATTTTAATCCTCTCCATTTCACGGATCAATTCATTAGCGCTCTTTGGAAAGAGGCAGTAATTTTTCTCATTTCTGTTATTTTCCCACTCTCATCCAAGATTATCTTCAGGGGTGAATTGATAAGACAAGAAATTAATGTAATTGATAGTTGTGTGATTTTTTTTTTTTTTTTTTTTTTGTAAATTCTCATGAAACGTACTCCGCTACAGTAAATTTAAAAATTAGCGTTACGAATATGTAAGGGTAAGTTAATGCTCACTATATCTATCTATCTATCTATCTATCTATCTATCTATCTATCTATCTATCTATATATATATATATATATATATATATATATATATATATATATATATATATATATATATATGTATAAGTGGGTCCAAGTAACATAAAATATTAAAACTGATCCACAAAAAGAGCTCAATGCCTTTGTCATTACATTTGTAATTACTACACAATAAAATGAAAAATTACGTCATATGAGGTAATTTGGGATTTTATTGCATACTATATATATATATATATGTGTGTGTGTGTGTGGTAAAAATATAAGACATTCAGTGCATGTAATCGGTGAAAATCTGATTAATGCTTAAACACAACTTTCACGTCATGCACCCCCACACACACCCACACACACATACATTTTTATATATATATATATATATATATATATATATATATGTGAAAAGTGAATATAAATATAAATAAATATATATATATGTATAATTATTTATATATTATATGCATAATACTTATTAGAAAGCGCTCAATATCAGAGATAGAGCTAACATATTTGGTTGGATAGATGTGAGTTTGTCTGACCCTCGGTTTCAAAGCGTTAAAATCGTCAGACAATTGTCTGACGATCGCTCCAACCAAATATATATATATATATATATATATATATATATATATATATATATATTATTCTAAAAGTGTTTATTACGTATGCCGGCCTCCGTTTTCGTGAGAAGTTAATAGAGGAAATCCGGCGAGTTTATATATTGGATTTATTTGGCAGCAATTTTTAATTTATAATCATTTGTTTAAGAGCCCATGAATGTTCTTAAGGATAAGTATCAGTTTAATATATTTTATCGGGCACTGGTTCATGTTTAAATATAAATTATTCAATATCGGAGTACTTTCGGCTTTCATAACTCATTATCAAATAGTTATTTGTGTTTGCTATTGTCTTCGTTTTTTCGAATATCGCAATTTCTCGCGTCTTGTCACGTGAATACGGGTTACTTAGGCGTTAATCATGACGCGTTATTTAAAAAAAACGATGTGACTGACATAGCATAAAAGCAGCAAAAACACATTTTTCATAATGGATTAGGAAAGCCGAACGGATTCAGACATAGGACAACCTATATTTAATTGTGTACCGAAAACCAGAAAAATGCTGGGAAACAAAAGAAATAAATGAAAAATATCTTCAATAAAGAACTTGCGCTGTTATGTGTGTGTGTGTGTGTGTGTGTGTGTGTGTGTGTGTGTGTGTGTGTGTGTGTGTGTGGAGTTAGACAAACAGACAGAAAGACAGATTAAATTATAATTTGAAAAACTATCTTTTTTTTTTAAATTAACCTTGAAAATTAATCCCGTCTCTTTGTGACGCCAAATATAAATTTACTTATCGACTTACATCTAATTATAGAAAGCTGTTAGATATTTTTTCAACTCTTTGGCTGGGAAAATTAAAGAATGCCTCTTTAAAGCAAGTACTTCGTCAAGAGTGTTTATACGGTATCTATATCTATAGTTGAGAAGAGTTTGTTTGTCTGTTTACTGTACTCGGTCGAACTGTATCATGTCGAGCACTCAAAACTTGGTATACATACTTATTGTACCCAACGATAAGTTTAATATATTTTTCATTTCGCATATGGTACTAACCCTACTTACTAATGGCGACAGGCTATGACACAAGGCCGGTTTAATACAGGGTATCCGTATTTTTAAATAATCCATTCTTTCGGTATCATGATTGATACACGCTTGGGAGATTATGTCTATTTTTGATTATTGATTGTCAGAAGAATTCCAGTAGTAGGCTGCCATTACTTTCTGCTGTAGACTGGCTGCCAACCAAAGCTATAGAACAAAGTTTGTCCTGATATTTAATCCATAGCTGTGAAGGAGATGGATTCATATCTTACCCAAGGATAAATTTAAGTTAATGTAATTCGACTGTAATTCGAACTCTACTGTCTAATTTCTCAATCCGAGCTATTATCTATTACACCACCCGCACATCCTAGCTTACTGCACCTGGCGTTTCCAAGCAGTCACCCATATAGGTACTGACCAAGCTGAAAGCTTAAATTTGGTGATCGACTGAGAATCGGTGTTTTCAAAGTGACGCAGTCATAAACCATATATATATATATATATATATATATATATATATATATATATATATATATATATATATATATATATATATATATAAGCAAATATATGGATATAGATCCGACAGAATTTTAGAGTGAAATAAAAGTGTATTTATAAAATGCAACATAAAAACATCATGTAACCTTTTTCTTCGTTAGTGTAACTATGTTCAATGCATCTCTAACGTATTTTCACATTGGTATGCGCTCATTAAAGATCAACAGTTTTGCAACATCGCAAAACACCAAACGAAATTGGCACAGCAATTTTGAAAAAAATTAACTGTAACTTTTAAAAAGAATCGTCGATTCTCAAAATGTGGGACAAAAGGTATTACGCATTAACTGATGCGAGACAAGTTCTGCATTAAAATACTGGGCAATTCTTAATTTTACTGAACGTTTAATAATCTTGTCGCAAACGGGCCATTTTCTATGCGTCATATATTTTCGCTGGTGTTCAAATCCTATTTAGTATCAACCCAAGATTTGGTTTCTGCTTAACAAATCATCAACCACCATAGAGTTTTTTAAACCCAGATAAACGTTTTGAATCGTTGTTGTTTTGGGTATAGCTTGATGTAGTTTGGGATACAGGTTAATTGGTCAACTTTTATTATTATTATTATTATTATTATTATTATCATTATTATTATTATTTATTAGAAATGCTGGTTTCTAGCAGCCCAAGATAATTCCATTCATTTGCTGATCAGCAATCTATGAAGCAGATCAAAATTCTGTTCTTTTTTTTCCCCGTTGACGGAATCATGAAATATTCTCATGTCTTCACGTTTACCGATGATATCACTGCGATCCGAAGAAAACCATGATCCTACAGGTGGCATAAAATCTCATGTCATTACTGATGACACTAACATGAACGAGAACTTAAAGCAACTTATGTTTTGAGCTGCTCCATCCCCACTCAAAACACTGCAAATCTCGATTTCCAAACAAGACACAAAGCTTTCTCTCATCAGAAAATAGTACTTTGGTCATCTGAGCAACACGTCACTTCTGCTTCTTCTCGGTCCCTGGGATGTGCAGGCGGTGTAAGGGATAGTGGCTCAGAATGATTAATCCAAGAGTCGAGTTCGAATTCCAGTCGGGTTCATTGCATTAACTTACGTGCAAATACACTTGAGAAAGTAATGAATCCATCTCATCGCACAGCTATAGTTAAATAGTAGCTAGGGTATCTGGAAAAATAATTTTTATTCTCAAAAAAACTGTTAATGCAATATTTGCTCGCAAAAAGTATCATTCGTACAATCTAAAACTTGTTTCGTCTTTAAATAACTCAGAAAAAGTTTACTAAGCCGTAAAAAAATCAAATCAGATATTGGCTCCTGTCAGCTGTTAGTAATACGGCCTCTCATTTTGAATTTGGTTGGTTATAGGTACTTGACTAACGTACCCTATTTCCAGAATTGGTAGCCGTAGTAGCCCTTCATACACATCTATTTTCGTGTTAAAATGTTTCTATTTAACGGTTCTCCCGAGGCTGCAAGAGTTTTTATAGCTTTCGCATCTATTTCAATCCCAGCTTAGTCGTCATAGGAAATATTAAGCTATTGATAAAATAATATCCTCTGTTCATCCATGCCGTTATAAATGGAGCCTAGTGGGGGCTCCTGTTCCCTACTTTTACTAAAATTAAAACTAACGCTGTGACAATGCTATCGAGTTCAGCTAATTTGTATAACTATCATAAATTAATAAATCATAAAATTTAATTGTCCGTATTTCTCTCAGAAACATTAACTTCTAAAAGATTTATATAAAACTTATAATTGGAAAAGGGTCGTTAAATTTGATTCAAGAAAATGCGTACAGTCGAAAAAAAAATTAAAAAAATGTGTATTTAAAATCAGAACAAGAAGCTTACAGTTGGATAATGTATCTTGAAAAAATGTCCATTTTATAAGAGGCGCAGATAACAAAAATGTTGGATCTTTAAAAATTTAACATTTGATTTCTCCGTCACATCCACTTTTAACTTCTGATTTTATACGGCCATTTTTTTATTCTATTTCCCCTCCCCAACTTGAAAATTTTGGTAACAAAATTAGAGTTACCATCTAGCAAATGAAATGGTTGTGAAATAAATTTTAACTTTACTACAATTTCAAATCAATATTTATTGCAAATGTTTCTCTTTTGTTTTAGGTTTCAGACTACCCGTCACGAAATCATCCAGTTTATCTTTGCAGAAATCATGCAGGCTTAAAGTTCCCCAGTGGACATGCAATGTACATCACGTATCACCCATCCGAAGCTACAAGAATCACCCAATTCTCTCTTAATGTTACTCATGTCGGTCAGTAAAAAGTTTCTTTAATTTATTTAACACATCATTGGTTAATTTTTCAAAACTGACACATTCTGATTTTCGAAGCAATACTTTAAAACTTAAATAACTGAAAGAAGGTGTTGAATTCGACATCTTTATACTTTTGACGCTTTATTTTCAGAGTAAAGGACTGAAATTGTAAAAAAAATAGCGTCGGATTTGAAACCAGCATATTTTTGACGATAGCTTCGTAACTCTTTGCGTAGTAGAATGGTAATGGTGTCAAATTCGGCATTTTCGTATTTTTGACTTCATATTTTCCGTGTGATGAAAGGTTTGTCGAATTGATTTTTTCTGCAATTTTGACTTTACATCCTCAAGCTGCTTCTGTCCCACTGCATAAAAAGAGAAAGGCTCAGTGTCGGTCTTTAATTCTTGAGGCTTTCAAAAAACGGACAATGCCGTGCGAACTCTGAGGACTGCACGTTAACAGTGACTCTTTTTCAAAAGCTACCATTATTGCGTTTGTGTAGAGTAAACAGTTTCCATAATGTTAATTTTCAGAGTTGTATTCTAACGTAGTCGAAAGTGTTGTCTTTGGCAGCTTCATTTTTTGCTTTATTAGTTACATGAGAATTTTGAAATCCAATTCTGTGGGAAAAATTCATCATAAGTGTATTATTCTTTTTTTTTTTAAAATATCATTCATCGTATATACTCGTGTACAAACCGACTTCATGTAAAGTGTGAACCCAAAGTTTTTTGCATGAATTTTAGTCTCTCCGTGTGTGTAAGTGTAACCGGTCACTGAGAATGCGTAATCATTAATCTTTTAAAAAAAATTGCTTCTGTATAATACGACTCACTATTTTTGGCTTAAAAGAACTTATAATAAAAACTATCACTATACTTGTGTATATACAGTAAATTGTCCTCGTTACTTTCGAATTAAGCAAAAATTATGCATTTCCATCAGGTTAGAAAGAAAGTCTTGTATGCATGTGCTAATGAAGGAAAAGAAACATATGCATTTAATAAAAATATTTCCAGAAATAAGAACCTGAGGAAGCTTATCTTTTTAAGGTTCTTCATCCAATATATATTTTCAATTGTCTTCTCAATTAATAAACTATTTCCGACTTAGAAATGTTGCAATGATCTGGAAAAAAAATGAAACAATGTCAGGTGAGTAAATTGTATAATTCAAGACTTACATATTTAGTGACATAATCTTCTCTAAGAAACAGTCAGATGATGAGTAGCACCTGTCGACCAAGATTAGATACCCCTCCGAATTTAAGATGATAATTTATAGTCCCAAAGTTTATTCAAATAAGTTATTTAATTAAGTTATTTAATTATGTTTGCTTAAGATTTTCTTCAAATATTATTAGCAGAAGCTCAATACTAACAAGAATTTGCCGTCCAGATTGAGTCGAATCTTTGAGATAACAAATTTCCCAATCCGAACTGGCTAAGCCATCGTTAGTATGTGTGGACACTTTAAGATTCCTCTCCATAGTCAGAACGAATATTTCTTGTCATTTCCGTTGTTAAAGAACTCTTTTTCAATTTATACAGAATACAGTGTCTAATGGCGGTCGGATCTAAAATCATTTTAAATAGGTAAAATCGATACAAAATTTAATCACTTTCATATTACGTAATCTGTAAAGGAAGGAAAGAAAAAACATAAAAAAATTATGGTTATTTTAATTCAAGTTTTCAAAAAGTACCCGCAAAATAATAATTTCAAAAATACAACAGCATTTTTTTATGTTTCTTTTCTTTTTAATGTTTTTTTTAATGTTTCTTTTCTTTTTAATGTTTTTTAATGTTTCTTTTCTTTTAAATGTTTTTTAATGTTTCTTTTCTTTTTAATGTTTTTTTATGTTTCTTTTTTTAATCTTTTTTTTAATGTTTCTTTTCTTTTTAATGTTTCTTTTTTTTTCTAATGTTTCTTTTCCTTCTTTCAAGATTAAGTCATAGTACCTGCGAAAATAAAATAAAAATAATTATGGGATAACGATATACAAATGTTTATATATCAACAACAATTTGGAGGGAAAGATGTATGACAGTGGAAAAAGTTTTCGTTTGACGCGTTTCGTCTTTTAGGACATTATCGGACCAAGTTTAAGTTGATGCAACTGCACATGCGCACGAACTTGAGTATATAATTGCTGACTATATTTAGATACTTTATGTTTTAGTTTCCATCACTTTTGTTATTAAATATTCCACGTTGTGATAATAGAAGATCATCCAATAATAGTGAAGCGTTCTAAGAACCTTGACACAAAATTATTGTGGATAATCTAGCAATTAAATCACTTTCTAAACAGTTCCGTCTTCCTAAAGACGTCACATGAAATCTTTTTTCCATTTTGTCACACATCTTTCCCTAATATTTAATTTACGAAATTTTACTTTTGATTTAGAAAACTCTATTTTTGAATTGTAAAAAAATTACTTTACATCTGTAAAAATTTACTTTCCGTATAATAAAAAATTACTTTTTAGCAAAATGAGCATATTTTCAGAACAATTGCTAATGTAAGGGAAAGAGTCGATTTAAACGGCTTTATATATTTTTATAAGTCACTTAATAATTTTGAACCCTAACTTTTGGAGAAAATACATTTTATAAACAAAATGTATATTATGTCTTATTTTTCACAATTTAAATTGTATTCGCTAATTTTTTTAATTTTTTTTTCTTATTTCAGGATTAAATCCATGCCAATCGACTCCATGTTATAACGAAGCTAGTTGCCTCGACTTGGGCAACGCTTTTCAATGCCTATGCCCACCCGGCTTCACCGGATCGACTTGCGAGTTTCAAGTGGATGAATGTGTCTCGAATCCCTGTCTTAATGGCGGCTACTGCAGGGATTATATCAACGGATTTGTATGCAATTGTCCCCACGGATACACAGGCGCTCGTTGCGAAGAATTAGCGGACAAATGTCAAGGCCTTCCTTGTTACAACGGCGGCAGGTGTATGACGAATGAGAATGGAACACTTGCATGCGTATGCGTTGGTGGCTATATAGGCAAAATGTGCGAAAATCGAGTAGATGGTATTGTTGTCGGGCTGACCTGTGATCAGGTCCAATGCAAAAATGGTGGCACCTGTGTTACTAACAGGGACGGTTTATATCGCTGTAAATGCCCACCGGGGGTAATGGGACCTATGTGCGAGGTGGTCACTCACAACGGTTGTCGTGGTAACCCATGTGCAGAGGGAGCCACCTGCGTTAGATCTGAAGATACTGATGACGATACGGAGGCTGATGATGGACAAATGCCGCCATTTAAATGTCTGTGTCCTGAAGGTCGGACCGGTTTACTTTGTCAAGACTATGTGAATTCCTGTTTGAAAAATGAATGTCACAACGGAGGAAAATGTGTCACGGTAAAAAGTGATTTTTACTGTAATTGCACAGCAGGATGGCGTGGCCGGTTCTGTGAACATGACATTAACGAATGTCATCGTAATCCCTGCCAAAATGGAGGTCGGTGTGAGAACACATTCGGCGGCTATGCTTGCGAATGCCTGAAAGGCTTTAAGGGTCGCAATTGCTCAACGAACATTAACGACTGCTCAAAGAGCTCCTGTCAGAACGGAGGCAGCTGCATCGATCTCGTGGGCAAGTATAAATGCAAGTGCCCATCGAATTACTGGGGTAAGAAGTGTCAGCACAAACGCTACCCTTGCGATCGAAAACCGTGCAAAAATGGCGGGGAATGCGTTAGCTACAAGAACGACTTTGTATGCGAATGCGCGCAGGGCTTTACGGGACGCACTTGTAGTGAAGAGGTCAATCCGTGCACATCGCAACCCTGCAAAAACAACGGATCCTGTCAGTCGACTAAGCGAAGTATCGATTTTTATTGCAAATGCCCACCAGGCTTCCTCGGGACACACTGCGAGCTAAAAAATGAATGCTTTCCAAATCCATGCCATAACGGAGGACGCTGTCTCGAACAACTGGGTACTTATTCCTGTAAGTGTCGGATTGGGTTTGAAGGAACTCACTGCGAGGTGAACACCGATAACTGCAAACCGAACCCGTGCACTCACGGGGGACGCTGTGAAGATCTTGTGTCCGGCTTTCGATGCTGGTGTGCTGAAAATTACAAGGGAAAAACATGCTTGCAGTTCAAGTATGAGGGTAAGTTAACGTTTGAGTTTTACTATTGAATGTTCTACTACCGTTGACATCACAACCTTTGGGCTGATCGATTCTACGACCTTTTTCAGTTCTTCTCTTTAATTTTCTTTTAATATATTTTTGTCTATAACTTCTAATGCATAAATATTTATCCCCCTTGCAAGGATGATGCCAGTTTAACAGTGTCTTTGTCATGGTAAGGCCAGATTGTACCATTTAATTTCAGGATCATATCTGAAATCAGAAAATGTCAAAAGGAAAACTAAAAGTACGATCGATCGACGGACATTGGTGTATGAACGCGCCAATGAATAATGTGAAATTATATATACATATTTAAGGACTCATATCTAATATTAGTAAGGACTTATCAAAATATGCCATCGTATGGGCAAATTTGCATTAATTTAAGACTTTCATGAACATCAATCTTTCATGAACAAAAGTCTTATGTACTTGAAAGTCTGATGGTCATAACTTCCACGAACATAAGACTGTCACGAATATAATTTTAAATAAACATAAGACTTTCACGAACGTAAGACTTTCCCGAACATCATCATCATCTTGCGGCCTCAGCCGAGATTGAACTCACTACACTTTTCCAGTATTCCTTATCTGTCATAGCACCTAAAAGATCTTCCTTAGGGATCAATGTGTCTCATTTTATCCTATCTGGAAAGGTTAACTTTCGTGATCGATTGTCAGATGATGGGTGCCTCCATAGTACAAATGATGACACAAGTTCCAGGTTGGAATCTGGCGCGGGATAGTCTTTCTTAGTTGAGGGTGAATGGAGTCTCTCTGAGCCTTGGTTGGCAATCTATTCAGGATAAAAACACCCTTGATAGCCCTAGTGAAACATCAAGAATTCAGCTATTGACAAGATTATGAACTACACCAATCAAAGTATTGAAGATATCGACGTGAATGGGGCTGGAACATCTTGTGAAGGTCCCACGTCCGGCAGGTGTCCCATTGTTCAGCAGGGTCGAAACTCTGAGGGAACAGCTCTGAACCCTTCGGGGTGGGCTGCTTCCGACGATAAAGGAACGAGATTCCCGAACATAAGACTATCGGAAACATATGCCTTTCAGGAACATAAGACTCACATGGATACCAGTCTTTCATGAACAAAATTCTCACGAATATAATTTTAAATAAACATGAGACTTTCACGAACGTAAGACTTTCACGAACATATGATTATCAGAAACAGAATGCTTTCAGGAAAATAAAGTGAACATAAATCACATTGTTATGGAGCCATTCCTGATATTTCTACAACCTTGTGTGAACACAAAATGCGCTTTGCATGACACTGCTGTCGAGCCATGCAAGAACTCGCGAGGGATCAACTGCTCTGGACACCTAGCCATGGCGCAAGACTGATTGGGCGCTCAGCAATCACCTACATTGACCAACCATGTTATGCCACAAAATACTACCCTAATGACATTCTCATTCTCTTTCCCTTTCACTACCCCTGCGTTCGAGTGGTATTGTCGCCTAGCGTGGAGTAAAATGATTTAAAAAAGAAAAAGAATGGCTACAATTCAAGGTTAGTCTATCCTATTTATTGTTCAGTTAGTTGGCGAGGAGAAGATATGAATTCATGCTTTTATTAGACTGGGATTTGGAAAGAGGTATTGAGATGGACAAAGATGTATTCCAAAAGCTAAGCAGAGTATTAGGAGACAGAAAAATTTCGTCTCAAACAAAGAAAAGATTACTGAACTGTTACATGATATTTCTAGACAATCTCCTCAAAGATGAAGAAGAGACTTGAAGCAACATAAATGTAGATCTACAGAAAGATGCTGAGGATACCATGGACCGAACATGTGAGCAACAACGAGGTTTTTGAGAGAATGGAAACAAGAAGGAAACATATACTTAACATCAGAAAGAGACAGTTGAAATTTCTGGGGCACGTAATGAGGAAAGTGGGCTTTGAAAATCTGATACTCACAGGACAGATTGAGGGAAAGCTAGGGGTAACATACTTGATCAGCGTGAGTAAATGGATGGTGAAACAGGGTTAGGGATAAATAACAAAAAGAAATGTTTTATTAAGAGCTACAAGGGACACCAAGATGTGGAGGACCATGATCGCTTACGCTCTGAAGGAACACGACATATAAAAAAAAGAAGACGCTGATTCCATTTCCTGCACCGAAAGCTGCTATGCTACCCGAAAATTTTAAGGGTCAAATTCTTGAAACCGTATTTGTGGGTTTATAAGACGAAGAATTTACAAGATCGTTAAGAGGAGTGCCGCTAGCCGCAAATCATGCCAGTGTCAGAGATATCCATTTCAACTTTTGGTCGACGGCCACTGCATTATTAATATTATCATCATCATCATCATCATCATTCGATTTCTGCTATGGACACACTACCTACCAAGTCTGCGGAAAGACCTAAGGCGGGTCGTGGTGTGTTATTATAGCCACATTTCATGTTAATTTTTTTTTTTTTTTTTTTTTATATCTCCGATGAAGTTGCTAGCGTTACATAGACAAAGTTCTCCTTTAGTGTGTGCTGTACTTAATAAGACAATTTTCTGTATGTCTCTTAAGCTGGGGTTTCAGGGGATTCTTTCAATGTGTTGTTTTGTTCCATTTTTTATAATTCTAAGTGCACCTATTATTCTTGTTTTCAATTTCCATTTTCTTTCAATTTCATTCTTTTGTATTTTGATTTTTTCATTTTTTACAATATGTTGCAATCCGCTGGATTTTTGACAATCAATTTCAATTTTCTGTCTGTTTGGTATAATCCATAGTCCGACATCTATTTCTGTAACCGGTCTGATTTGTATTTTTTTGATAGTTTTTCAAATTTTGCCTTGGTTGCTATGTTACAATCCGCTGGATTATCCTATTAGATGGTCTATTGTTTCTTGGTATTATTTGGATCCACATTATTATTATTATTATTATTATTATTATTATTATTATATTTTTCATTCTGTTCAGTACAATCCCTTACCAGGTTATTCACCGAAAACTAGGGTGAGGCAAGATAGTAAATATAAATTTATTTTGCACAAATTCTGATGTTAAGTACATTTTCTTCACGTTGATGATATGCGGAAAGATGTAATGAGTAGCGGCTATAAATGAGAAATCTATTGATCCGAGTTCGAATTTCGGTCGGGTTTGTTACATTCACTTACGCGCAAATATACGGGAAAAAAGTCTTAACACCTCCGTTCCCCAACCATGGGTTAAATACTAGGATTTGTATAAAAAAAAATCATTTTTATTCTGAAACTTGTTAGTGCAATATTCACTCGCAAATGATGTATTATTTCACCACTCACAAATAGGTTTTCGCATAACAAAATTGTTAATAAACCTTAAAAAACAAACAAAACGATTCCAATCAAACACCCCACGTAAGCCAGAATATGCGTGATTTTTTAAAAATATATTTTTGTTTTGAAATTTTGTAATCGGGAATACTTAATATGTTAATAGTAGTACGTGTATATAAAAAAAAAATTATTGTTATTTCTAAAAATAAATTAATGTAATATTCACTCGTAAAAAAGACAAGAATTATTCTTACAATCCAAAATATTTTTCAGCTTTAATTACCACACAAAGGGTTAATAACAAATCCATTTACTAATCAGTATTAATAGTAGTCTCCTGAGTAGTTCTATACTATGCAATTTTATAAAACTCTTGTAAACAAGACTTACGATGAATATTGTAACTGTGGACGTCTGTACATTTTTATCGCATCCAGGAGTTCATTTATTATTTTAACGTTAATCTTATACCAATAAATTTTATTTGTGTACTATAAAGTATAACAATACTATATTCCAGATTTTTACCATTTTAAATTGTTTTTTTAATAGTCATTCATTAATTTTTGTGAAGAGAAACAACCCCATCACTTCATTCTCATTCATTGGTTGTTTTAAGTAATGTTAGATAAATAAAACTGCTGCTGATGATGATGCTGCTATTATTATTATTATTATTATTTTCTTTGATTTCTGGCGTTTACACATTTCTTTCCGGGTCCCGCCCAGGGACCTAAGGTCAGAAATGGCATCATGACACATTTCACTGACAAAAAAAAAAAAAAAAAAAATACATAGATAAAGCCCTTCGTAATGTGTGGGCTGTACTTGTCAGAACAATTTATTATTATTATTATTATTATTATTATTATTCAAGACGTTAGCGATCATCGCTCTCCTCAATTCCATGTCATTTGTAGCTCTTAATAAATGCTATCTTTTCGCTATCTCTCCTAAAACCTGTTCAGCCATTCATTTACTCAAGCTCTCTAAGTAGTTCTTTATTATTATTATTTTTTTCATCGTTTCATCCCCAAGCAAGGCGATAATGCCACTAAGACGCAAGAGAATGAAAGAGAACGAGAAAAATTTAGAAGGAACCGGAACCTCAGTCCTAAACAGAAAAAAAGGATAAACCTGTACTCCTGTTCAAAAGACAAGCGATGTGTGTGAACTGGGTGATAGGCGAATCTATGAACTCATATTGTTCATGCATTTTTCCTCTGCTTCCTCTATTCCTCTTGTATTCAATCTGTCCTGTGTGTATAGTCTATCATATTCGCGTAATCTGTCATATCACTGCTAAGATTTATTGAATACAATGTAACCCGGATATAAGAGAGTTGTCGGGACCGGAGAAGAAGTCTCTTATATCAGGGTTTGGTCTATTTTATATACATTAACACAGGCTCTAATTTGGGACCAGAGAAAATCTCTCTTATATCCGAGTTTCTCTTATATCCGGGTTTCTCTTATATCCGGGTTACACTGTATATCGAAAGCTTTCGTTCCTGCATATGTAGAGACAAGGCAAATTTGGACGGTAAGAGATGGCAATGATACAAATTTAATCACAGTTGTAATTTAGCGCAAGTTGCATTTGATCCAGTAAAAACGTACACGAGATTTTATTTTTGCTTATAGCTACGCGTTGAATTTAACGCTCCTCCAACATTTA